GAAAGAGAAACCTGTGTAATATCTGCAGAGCAGAACTTAACTTCCACAGCAATTATTTTTAGTTAGCATATAGCTAAAATCTAACCATGGTTATATAATAGCAGCTGCATTCTGACGTGATAAGCTCTATGTTTTATATTCAATTAATGTATGATCTGATTAGTCGACTAATCGAATAAATAATCGTGATAATCGATTATAAAAATAATTGTTTGTGGCAGCCCTATTCATAACAAGCCAGTTATGAAACCTGTTATGAACATAAACCACACGTGAACTATTGTGAAACAAGTTTTTAGTCGCCACTATCATTTTATTAATTTTAATTTTAATGAAACCAAAACTACTGATGGTTTTTGGAGGCACTGCTGGGTCCTCCCCTGTAGATTTAGGTTCCTTGGCCCTGTATCATACTGACTGAATGCTAATTTTTTTGGGGAGGTGGGGTTAATTAGATCCTGAGCTTAAGCTATAGACAGCCAGACAAGAGCACTCATTAAAAAAAAGAGATTTTATCAGTGGGTTTTCTGCGAGCTGGGTGCAAATTGTTCAAAATTCTGCTGAACGACTCAACGGTTTTATTTGAAAAAGCATTTATTTGTTTTTGGATTGGCCTTTAAATGTTTTATTTAATGGCCTTGCCCCATGCTACTTTTCAGAGCTGCTGCCCTCTCAGACTGCTGCCCTTTCTGAGTGTCCACAAAATTAGACTCAAGCTAGAGGGGGTGGGGGGGTCTTTCTTTTGCTGAGTCAGCTCCTAATCTGTGTTGCAAACTGCTCCTCCATCTCAGACAGGCCTCTTCACCGTCTACTATTAAAACTTCTCTTAAAACCCACTTTTTTTCTTGGCTCAATCTCAGCAGAGACCATGGATTCCAGGGTGTAGTTTTTTAAAAATTGTATCAACGCGCTGCAACATGACAAAACGACAAAAGGGGACGGAGGTCTGAGTACTTTCTGAACACACTGCTGATTCAAGATGGGAAAAACGAGACTGTCTGACTAAAAATAGCAACAAAAAACAAACAAACAAAAAACAGAATCAGCTAATTATCTGACAAAGAAGAGGAAACAGGACGTTGGAGATGCATGAAAAGAAAAGATATCCCTACAAAACGCTGTACGGACTTTAATCCGTCCATGCCTAGGAGAATCTGGGAGAGCAAAAAGTTATGAACTCAATTAAAAGTCTAATTTTTCTGGACTGAGTGACCTATTCGAAGCTTTTAATCTGCATAGACAAGCAAAATATGAAAGATAACTTTTTCAGTCTGCTCTGAAATCCCTTAAAAGCCTTTAGACATTTTTGTTTCCTGTAAAGATGTCAAACTAAAGGTAAGAACCCGAGGAAGTCGTCTGACACCCTAGTTTTCAAATTAAAAGCCCCCGGTATCGTCTGGAAAAGTTTAAAGGCAGAAATTGCACCGTTTTAGCCCACCAGTGGAACAAAGACTGCTAAAGGGCCAATATTATGTGTTTCTCAGGCATACACTTAAATACTATACCATAATAAAGTATCTATATTGCCTTTAGCTGTTATTAAAATGCTGTTTTTATGTTTAAATAGAAAATAAACATCTTCTCACCACTTCCTCTTCTAAATGCCTTGAAATTGTCCTCTGTCTCTTTAAGAACCACCTTCCGCTTCTGTCTTGCCCATTTCAGTGTGCGCAGGGGGGTTATGATGCAGTTTACTTGGCATCTGAAAATACATTGCCTCAAAGGTATTTTTGATCTGAAAAGAGCTTCACTGAGTGAGAACTAATGTTGAGAGCTCAGCAGACAGTTTAAGTTTCACTTTCACTTTGACCTGAGAGCCTGCAGGAGTCATGGGCGGGGTGTGTGGGGAGGGGGGAGCGCTTAAAAGACACATCCCAGGGGCGTTTCTGGTACCAAAAGGTGTTTCTGGTCCCCACCTGCTGTTTTGCTCCTCAGCATGGCTTCCTAAAAACACTGCAGGATTTCTCAAACATGCATGAATGAGTCAAAGCAAGGCTTTGGGCATGTTTTTTATGAGAGTATAACATTATAACATAATATAAAACTCAAAAAATTTGATTTTACATGATATTGTCCCTTACGGGCTTAAAAGTAAAAACTTTATTTCAAAATTACAGCATGCAGCATATTTCCTAACTAAACAGGATGACGTAGTCAAAAATGTTGCACTTTATTCTGGGAAAACTATTCTTAAAAGCACAGTGAAGATTTAGTGATAATAAGAAAAACTGACATGTTTGGGCCACACGCCAAGGAAATAAAAACCACAAAGAAAAATGCATCATTATAAACTCTTTCATATCAACAACAGCAATGAAAAACTGGTGTAAAAGTTACCTGTTCTGTTCAGGAAGAAGCCCTCAAACACAACAAAGTTATTGACCTGCACAAAAGACAAGACATTTTCATGAAAATTAAGTAGTGAACAAACCAACCGATTTTCATGAAGATCATCAAAAATATTTCACTTTGTGCAACTGTTAAACTCTGACTTGTTCCATTGCTGTAAATGTGCAGTAAGTCTTGATCAGATAAGGAGGAAGGTCAGAACTTGCTACCTCATGGAAAGAAAAGGCAAAAAAAATAAAAACTAGATGAACAAGTTTACCAAGTTCATCTGACGTTCAGGAATACAGCAACCTGACTGGTCAATTGTCTAAGTCATGGTACTCTGCCACACTGACGCTAAATGTGACGAGGGTTTTCCATCACAATTCAGATAAACAGGGGAGTGTTTCAGCAATACCATGTTTCTCAATATCACAAAGAAATTTAATTTAATTATTCAATTCAATATTGATCCACATCGGGCATATGATGATGATATGGACTGATATTTTTGTAATTGAATCATTGATCATTTAATCGATATATCGATTTGGATCCATGTAACTTGAAAAGTTGAGGAAAAAACACCTGGAGCATTCCACAGGTTCACTGGAAACAGGAGAGTGTCATGATTGGGTATCAAGGGAGTATCCATGAAAGGCTCAGTCATTCACAAGCAACAACTGCGTGAGCAAATAGTCCAACATTTTAAGAACAGCATATCTCAACGTACAATTGCAAAGAATTTAGTGATTTTATCATCTACAGACCAGAAAGATTCAGAGTATCTGGACAAATCTCTACAAGCAAGCAGCACGGCTGAAAACTAACACTGAATGCCCGAGGCCTTTGACCCTTCAGGCAGCGCTGCATTAAACCCCACATCTTTCTTTAACAGATATTAGCACAATGGCTCAGGAAACAATCAGCAACTGAAGCTGTACACCAAGCAAAAATTGGAAAGAATTCTATTTTTAAGTTTCAACAATTACTGTCCTCAGTTCTAGGGCTGTATATTGGCAAGAATTTGGCGATACGATACATATAACAGAGGGGTCACGATACGATATATCCCGATATATTGCGATACTGTAAGCAAGGCAAATATCGTGATATATTGCGATTTTTTTGTCCAAAAATTCTTTTAAATAAAAACTTCTTACTGAAAAAAAGAAAAGCTAATGTTTACTTACAATGCTAACGCTACCCGCTCAAGAGGTAGAGGAGCCAAATGGCTGGCTCATTGCTGCCAACTAGTGGTCAGAGGCTGAACTACAAAATAAAAATGAACGGCTGGCAGGAAAGTTGACATTTTAAACCTTAATTAAAAATCGATACAGGGCTTTAGAATATCGATACAGTATCGGGAAATGAAATATCGTGATATTTCAGTGTATCGATATTTTCTTACACCCCTACTCAGTTCACAGTTGTAAATTTCTTTAATTCATCATTTAATGATGGCTGGGAGGATATGGTTTCAGCAGTGGTGGGTACCAGCCCGCTAAAGTGCAAATCCGCTAATTGTGGACCTAAATATTTCATTTGCGCTTTAGCGGTCTTACTAATTTTTATAATTCATAAGCAGATTTGCACTTTCTAAAATTAAAATGTAGTACCACTAATAACTAATTATCTACCAGTCATTATTATCTTGAACAGCAGAAGGTTTGGCTTGTCAATGAATCGCAACACGTGATCTATCCAACATCACCCCACCCAGATAAACACACTTATTATGAAGACATACGTACATCCTTGCTGACTGTTGCTTTTGGTCAGGGTTCTGTTTTCCCACAATGCTTTGTGTCTGCTTGCATAGCAGGAAGGCGATAGCAAAAACAGTTAATGTTTGTAATCCATACTAAAATTTTGTATGTATTGATTTATTTTACTTTACAAGTGGAGCTCCTTTTTTTAAATAAAATTTAAACACTGGAGCTCAATAGTTGACGTAAGTGGTCGAAGCAACGGGGTTTTAGACTCAGAAATGATTTAAAGATGTTATGCTGATGAACACTGACATCTAGTGGTCAACTGGGGTAACTACATGGAAAACTTTAAAATCCAAGCTTTTATTTTGAAGGGAAGATAGTTGCCTGCGAACTGTGCTTTCCTGTCACAAATCAAATCCGTCATGTACCCAGAATGCATCGCTTCAGTTTTCTAATAAACTGTTTTATAATCACTTTATTGATGCTTCTTTAATGAAAAATCTACAACAAACAAAAGAAAAAGACAAAGAAGCAGCCGAACTAGCAATCCTCAACAACTTTTTAAAGAATCAGCCAAACTAGCAATCCTCAACAATTTTTAAAGAATCAGCCAAACTAGCAATCCTCAACAATTTTTAAAGAAGCAGCCGAACTAGCAATCCTCAACAACTTTTTAATTTTTACACCAGGAGCTAAAGATCTATTTCAGGAAATCACATCCCCAGCAATCGGCAGTTGTAGAATTAAGTTGTGAAAGGGTTCATACACCACTAGTTGGCAGTGCTGTGCACATAATGTACATGAATTGTTGCCAGCTAGTAAGTGTCAAACTGAACTTGTGCTTTAAAATTAGCTTCCGCTAGTTTTTCTGTGGCATAAGCATTTTTGAAGTTGCGGACCTAAACATTTTCATAAGTGCTTTGGAAATTGCGGAGCTAATTTTTGGATTAGCGCTGCTCACCACTGGGTTTCAGGTCAAAAATTGCAAATGTTAGAAGTCTGTGATTTTTTCATAGACCAAATACAATTAAATACAGCATGCTAACACCTTGAATGGCTCCACAACAAATGCTTCTGTTTCATGAGAAGAATGACTTGGTTGATTTAAAAAGCAGAAAAGAGGATGAATAGGCTAATAACTAAATATGACCACTATAAAGGAAGCAGCCACTTTATAAGTCACAAACCTTTCACCTTTCATCGAAGATCTGTAAGGAAAAGCTAATACAGAAAACACACATCACTTGAATTAGGAGACAGACTGAGTTGACAGGAATTACCTGAGGAACGCTTTGCATCAAGCTGTAGTGTTTAGCCAGGAAAGCCAGGAGTTTTGGTGAGGGCCGGTCATATGCCATCTCTACTGGCTCTACATTCTTGTGCTACAGTAAGACAAGAAATGGGACTTTACTGACAGACTTTTCATTTTAACAGGATCATCAAGTGAAACACCATGGCTTTTTAACAGTTCAGCTTTGCAAACAGCTGATATTGGTACCACAGTGGGCAAAGTGTATTTTCATCTATAGTGTTACGTTAAAGCTTCTGGAATTTACATTTGGAATTAATCTGTTGAGTTGTTCATCAAATCACAATCAATTTATTTTAGCACTGATGCTAGTGATTAGATTTGGGTCAGGTGGTACGAGAAGATGCCAAGTAGTATTACCCAAGTGTCCAGTATTGTGTTGAGGACGCCTGGCTGAAGCCCCAGTCAGAGTTATCTGTAAATCCTACCAATGATGGAGGCAACCATCGATGGCAGAACGTTGGGTGCTCTCTGTTCCAGCAGTATGAAGCTGCATCTATTAAAGGCCTTGATTGGTTTTTTAGGACTCATGAGAAGCTGATAGATAGCGATTGGCGTTACAGATCAAAATCTTGCTTGTGGAAGTAGTTTGGTGAGCCTACGGAGCAGAACTGTTTGTAGACCTCAAGAAGACTGAGCTTAGCTGTCAGACATCTCAGCATTTCAACCAGAAAGCTTACATTTGGATATGGTACAATGCTGACATCAAATAACGACATTAATTGGTGGTAGAAGGACTACTTTGAGGATCTTCTCAACCTGATACCTTCCAAAACTGAGGAATGGTTACCTTTTGTCTTAAATGAAGCTAAGCACTGTACCCACTGTGGTGTCCTGCAGGGGTAATATGAGTCTTAGACGTCTTGCAACGGGGCTGTGCAACCAGAGTGAGAGCTTGGTCCCCATTGTTGACCAGACATTTCAGTTGACCAGGGTTGTCCTGCATTGCTGATTATGTTCTCAATCTTTGTAAACTAAATTTCAGTCAAGAATACAAAGTGTTTACCTGAAGCATGAAATTAAACAACTCCAGCCCGTAGCCATGTCGCTGCAAGTTTTCTGCTACATAGAAATCCAAAACACACAGCGGCTCAGCCTCTATGTGCACACCTTGTTGATTCTAGAAGAAAAAGGTTCAGAAAGGAAGAACAGCTTCAACCATACAGTCAGCGACGCGAACGATGAAGTGACAGTAAATAACGGACTCACAAGCAGAAATAACTTCTTGAACCCAACTTTCAAAAATCCCACGGCCACACCACGAGCTCTGAGAGAGAAGAGAGCAGGTCAGAGTGAACAGCAACACATCAGCCCAGTGTTTTATTCACATCAACTTCTGTGTATGTGTCTGTGACAGTATATAAGCAGTACTGAGCAGATGTTTTAAACTATTCCTAATTTTATTTAAGGAGCCTGACTTTCTAGCAAATCATTTCTAAGTTATTTCTCAAAAGGTTCTGAAGGTGTTTCACAGTTTTTCTTGGAACTTTGACTGTTTTTTCAACCATTTTCTGTCTAGTTGAAGTGCCTGTGACTTGCATATCCTTCACATTCAAAAAGTCGAAGAAAAAATCTATATACTTATGAAACTTGGCATAAAACACACAATTTTATTCATTTTGTCAAATAACTGGCTATTTTCATTTTAGTTAGGCTTGGACGAAACAAACAGGAAGTGACATCAAAGGGGATCTCTTTAAGAAATCAAATTCTCTGGTCTTTTCTTATTAAAGCAATATTGTTTGAACTCTTGTTCATTTATCACTGCTAGTGACTCAAAATAATCTAAAGAAACATCAGATTCTTCTCTACAGTCTATCCATTGTAATAATGTTCTGTTTACATTCAGACATTCCCCGTGACATCACTTCCTGTTACTTCACATGTAAATATCTCAACACATGTTCGTCTCAGCGGCTTGAAATGTGTTTTGTAATAAGTTATTAATGTTATCTTTCCAAAAATGCATTCATATTTATTACAAAAATTTGATGTCACAGACACTTTAATGGTCCTGTCTATGACAGCATGGAGAATGCAGACATGAGTCAGGCATTAAAAACTATACTGTATGGTAAGTTTTCAGCCAGTATTCCTTTGAGAATCACTTTGTTAATGCTAAAATCCAATATTGCATGTGAAGTATTGGATGTGCTGGAGAAGGCTTTGAGCAGCGGTCAGACTCTACCACCATCAATACAAGATCTTGGTGAAAAATTAATGCAACACTGGATGGAAATAAATCTGGTGACATTGCAGAAGCTTATCCAAACAATAACACAGAGAATGGAGCATGGTCCAATGAAATATTAGAATGTATGGTGTGCCGTTTGTAAAGTTACACAGTCAAAAATTACCACCAATATTTTTGTTTTATTTAGCCTTTTATAAGAAAAAAAGAACAGATTTATTTTTCAAAGTCAGTTTTTCACCATATGATTCATACATTTATAAATGCC